CGTGTGATCCGCCAGGCGCGGGACGTCGCGGCGAGCAGGAGGGGCAACAGCTGCCTCTCGTAATCACCATCTGAGGTCTCGGGAGTCTAAGGCTCACCGGGGAATCCGAGACCCTAAGCTCTGTACCCTGAAGCTCTGCGCGGTACTGCCGAAGCTAGAGCAGCTAGAGACTCGACAGCTGCAGTGTCACTGGGCAGCTTTGGAGTCTAGGATGCTTTCAGAACTTCACAGATCCTTACTCGGGTGGGGGGCTCTACGGGATGTTGGGTTGCAGGGATCAGTCTTTCGAATTGCCATTTACTACTGAACAAACTCACCTCTATCATGTCAGCCCTGGGCGGAAACGTCAAGGGCTATCTACTAATGTACAATCTACCGGGGTCGCCTCGTAGATTGCTGCCAGCAGCATTACTGTTGCTACTGAATGTGTTGGGGTGGAAGCTTGGTCGAATCCGAACATGAATGGTTGTGCAAGCTGTCCGTGTGCAGGCAGGCAGATACCTCAGATTGGGAATATCTGAGAGCATACGTTTGGAGGGGTTAATTCCCAAATGGATGGCACCTGGAAAGGTTAGGTTGGATCTGATTCACGGAGACAGCTATGGAAACTGTGGGAGACAGTGAGATAGTCTCAGTGCCTGCAGAAACCGACGAAACGACTGGGATGACTGCATCGTTGCCCTCTTTCTCGACTCTACGCTCATCCAGACCAATCAGCGAGAAATTGTCTTATTGGCGCCGCCACTCGGAGTACGACACGGAAGAAGCATACCAACAATCATCAATAGACAAGCAGACATGGTGATCCTGACAAGTCATTCCAGGCCTTCTTTGCCAGGCTGACGGAGGTGGTTGCCGCCCCCATGTGGGAGGGCGCCCCCATGGCCCGCAAGTCGTTAAGTGCACCATTACAAGTAGCCAGTCCCCAGGGCTCTTGTACGGTACAAGGTTTAAACTTAAGCTCGGGTTTCTCCGGATGGCTTGTGTCCATCTCTGGATCTTTGTCGCGGTCTGACCTGCATGTACGGCGATAGTACAGCGTGCATACGGTCGCCCCGCAGCGCATGCCGGACCACAGAATCGTATGAGCTCATATCAAAGCCACCGTTCAGCTGCAGAAGGCAAGGAACTACTGCGAGGCGGCTGTAAACTAAGGACCTAGGCT